TATAGAAGTTTCCAGATGTACAAATGTTCTAGATCAAAATTATAGAAGTTTCCAGATGTACAAATGTTCTAGATCAACATGTTGACCACCAAAAGTACAGTTTTCATCCTTTATCATATCAAAAGTTTAACTTGTTATTATTATTATTATTTGCAGCATAGATCGGTGTTTAAATATCTATATCCTGAGCATATCCTAAGTTAGAGGAAGCTAAGCACTTGGTAGGATCAGTAATTAATGTATCACATTCACATTTATCTACCTTCCAAAATGAATGCAACATCTTTTTGTTAAAAAAACAACACAAAAAAATCCCTTATGTATTCCTTTGTTTACACTTGAACTATGATTATATAAACAAGTTTTCAAGTCAACTTCAATGAGAAACTACAAGACATAATTATGGATAAAAATATGTTTTAACAAGCTGTGAAGACACATTAGTTATCACTAAGTAAAAACAAATCTTATAGTAGAACTCTTATGTAACAGCAAAGAAGGTCTCTCTTACTTCTCTACGAATTATTTAAAGAAAGTGATGACTTTGCCACATACCTACAAACAGAAACATTTTATGAAAAGAAACTGCTCACTAGTGAATCTATGTGTCCCTTTTATTAAAACTGTATTTGAGTGTAATGTAAGATAGCCTTAAGTAAGTGTCTTAGGAGTTAATTCCCTAAGATTTCTTTTTCTCCATTATCATCTTTTGTTGTTATTTTTACATTTTGGATAATGATATGGAAAGAAACATGAACTGTATTATGTTGACTCAGGTAAGAAATAATTTGGTTTTGTCATAAAAACTTTTCCTCAGTCTAATAAGATCATAATGACATTGAGGATGCAGAGGGTTTTCAGGAGTTAGCTTTGTAAACAAATAGAATTTAATGTGACAATAGTATAGGTATAGTCATAGAGTGCAATGGGAATACAAAAAACAAATAATTTAAAACCATCTAAAAGACCAGTATTTTGTGAATATTATATTATTTAGGCCATAGCTATGCCTATTTGTTTTTTACAAAGTAAATTACAGACATGTCTAGTTATCTACCCTATCCTTTCCTTAGTACTTAATACTTTTATTGTCCTTAATACCAACACCCCATCTTTGAGACTTCAAAGTTAGCCATCAAAATGACTGCAATTACTTAGTTATGCCTCAATAATCAAAAAGCTTTTTCAGTTTCAGAATAAATTAAAACTTTAAAAACTACCAATCACCTAAAATTCATACGTATAAATCTTCTTTTATAAACTCTTACAAGCAGATATTATATACAAGATTAACTTCTAAAAAGCTAGATTTGTGATAGTGCCTCACATTATAATTCAAAAAGACTCACTGCCATAATTCATAGGACTGAATCCTCTAGGAAATGGCAGGAACATTTAAGATTAGATCTACCTTTTTAACCGTAACTGTGGAAATCCATTTCAGTTTAACTAGAAAGGATACCTAGCTATACTGTGTAGCACTTTATAATTTGAGGAACATCCAGAACTCTTAAAAGTATGGAAAAATAGAAATAAGATTTGAACATAAATGTGCATATGTACTCATGCATACTTAAACTCGATCAAGGAAAGGTTAGCCAAAATGTTAAATACCCTCATTATGAGCTTTAATTTTAATTGTTTATAAGCTATAATTTGCAATTCAGAGATGTATAGTATTTTAGAGGCTAAAAAAATATTACATAAGTCTATTATTTGGTAAATCTTTCAAATGTGGAATTTATGATAAAACAAAATATAATTGTGATTTGTAGGAAAACACTTGAGAATCACTGATCCAGTAAAATTTGTAAAGAGGTAGGTGCTTTAGAGTGACAATTACTAACACAATATTTGTGAATTGTTCTTTAACTAAAAGTCATACTATTAAAAAAAATTTATTCCAAAAAAACTGGTTAATAAAGTCTCTTAATGTACCTAACCTAAAGTTCATACCTTGCTTTTCATAGCAGAAGAATATGGGCCTAAAAACAATCCAGGTAAAATTTCCTAGAAAAAAAATTGAGATATTTACCATCAGCAATTTAAATCTATACAAAATATGTACCATATAAGTGGATCTGTGGAATGTCTTTATAATTGTCTAAGTATGTGTTAAAATTTGTTATTTGTTTAGGAAGCATTTCCTATCCACATTGAATAGATGCTTGGGAGAATAAATGCAAATGTTCTTTACATATCAAATAAAACATTCAAAGTTTAAGTACAGTTCTGAAAAGTCAGGTATTTTAACTTCCATCGTTCTTTTTATCAGCAGTTTGGGTAAAATTAGTACACGTTTTAAGCGTTTTAAGAACATAATAACAAGCTTCTTTATATCTATTTTCGGCTATAACCTAAAAATAAAATAGGCATAAAGAAAATTTTCCCTTCAAAATTACGAAAAACCTCAGCCAGCCAAATCAAGAGCAATATAAGAAAAAAAGCACAAATTACCTATTAATAATAAATAAAGAATTACTACAAAGTTTAAAAAAGATCAATATGGAATATTTGACTTTTGACAGTTTGGACAGTATATACAAGTACCTTTTCACTGCTGAATTAAAATTTATCCTCTATGAATGCAATATAAAGCTCTTTCAGCCAGATTATAATAACCTAGATAATAATGTATTTTGTATTCAGTTCTATAAAGCAGAATAATTAACTGCACATGGTTCTGATTTCTGCTACCAATTTTTTATGAGCACAAAAAACATTTTACTCATTTTTGCATTTCCCCCATAGAACCAAGTAAAATACTTCAGAGATAGATACTTTTAAAAAGGGAAAGCAGAGTTTTTTAAAGTGAAGGGATTTCCAGAAATGGGAGATAGTGAGCTATCCTAAGACAGCAGAGTTGTCTGTTAATGAAATACAAAAGAAAAGTTAATTACTGGGAGGGTTAGCTATCACTTTATTTTATAGCAGAAGTATTCAATTCAGTTTTTGAAGGACTTACAGAACTTGATTATGGAAAACACAGAGATAAATAATTATTCAAAAGAGTGATTTGTTTTATAATCAACTCTCCTATACTTATAAGCTAGATAAGCAACAGAAAGCAAGCTGCTTTGCAAAAGGAATACAAATACTACATAAAATTTTTGGAATAAGAAAAACAAAGTGACTCATTAAGTACATACATATATATTACCATGCTTACATTTATATCTAATCTAAGGAAGAAAGGAACAATTCATTTTTTCTCTTTAATATATCCACATTCAACCTTAAAGATTTCAATATTTTAAATACCAAGAGATGATTCTCCTAATCATGAGCCAAAGGTCTCAAACCCTTTGTGAAATCAAGTTAAGTTACTTAATAATGATGATAATATGGGTTGGTTTGAATAAAAAGGATTAGCATACCTGCATCTCTCGTCTCATAGGGTAGGTCCATTCCTTCAAAATATGAGGAAAATACAAGAATAAAAGTAAATAAAATTATGAAAAATATTATCCTAATAAACATTACACATGTGACATACAAGTGAGTGAATTTTTTAAAAAATGCATTATATTTTAAGAATATAATTATAACAGATGCAACTGACTTCACAAACACCCAAAAATTTATGTGGTGGGAAACATGATTAAGATATTCTTTAATTAACTGGACTTTTAAAATTAAGATGATGTTATGTCATACAATGGATAGGTTGTTTCATTAGCAGCAGATATTTCAGAAGTTTCTCCCAAGGTGATCCTCTAAATCAGATCTCAAACAGACAACACTAATGAACTGGCAACAAAGAAAACCAAAACACCTGTGAAGACTTAGGATACAAAAAGTGATTTGCAAAGTGAGCAATGTTCATAGTGGATGAAAGAAGAATGGTACGTTACTAAGTACTTACCACTCCTAAACTAAACTGCTGGATCAGCCCTGCTGGATCATCAGCCTTTGCCATATTTTACTGGGGTTTATGATACTGTTTATTTAGTTCAACTCCCTTTTAAAGACGTATCTCATTAAATGATAATTTATTCTATCTTTGGAATGCAGATCAAGACAAAAGTTGTAAAATAATGCAAAACAGCAATGACAAATGAGAATACCTTAAAAGTTAGGAAAACAAAGCAGTCATAGATAAATTGATGTGAAAAATAACAAATATAGTATGGATAGTATGGATTCATTAAATGATAATTTATTCTATCTTTGGAATGCAGATCAAGACAAAAGTTGTAAAATAATGCAAAACAGCAATGACAAATGAGAATACCTTAAAAGTTAGGAAAACAAAGCAGTCATAGATAAATTGATGGGAAAAATAACAAATATAGTATGGAAGTCCTAGTTTGTAAATGGATTGCAAAAGTTTCTAACTTGGCTACTTAAAATTCAGATTTATACATAGTAACTAGGTTTATAAAGTTAAGATGTTACAAGTAATAATAATAAAGTTAGGATTTTGTAAAAATTGCAAAACTAGTGCCAAGAATTCCCTTTATTCTTCACCTAGATTACCCAAGTCGGGAACTTGTTAGCATAGAAGATAAAATTTTACACATCTATTATGGAAAAAGAGAACAATACTATTCCTACAGTGACAACCTGTTCTTTTTTTTAATAAAGTATTTTTTGTTTTTCATTTTGAAACTTGGTCTGCAATGTAGTAGAAATTGGCTACAAGCCCTGAGAAATTTTACCTATGTAATAATATTTAAAATATACCTTAAAGAATATCTTTATATAGATAGTTGAACAAACAAGAGTAGTAAGGGATTCCCCCCCACACACACACACAAGAAAGCACAAACCCAGAAAGATTATTGAGCACTGAACAATTTCCTCAGATCTGTTGTTCTTGATAGGATCTTATATTTCTTTCTGCTCTTTTAAAACAGATACAAAGTACAGAGGATGAGATGTTCAAATGCCCAAATCTCAATGTAGAGCTCAATGAATTTTTACAAACGTATGCACCTATACTACCACCACTCCAAATTTCTGACTCCAGAATGTTCCCACATTTTTCAGTCTAATGCTTCTAATTCACTGACATTTTCCACTATAGATTAAATTCTGCTTGTTCCTGAAATTCATAAGAATATAATAATCACACCAGTACTACTTTATGTCTGACTTCTTTCACTCAACTTAAGGTCTGCTGTGAAGTACACTTGTGTATGGATAGTCCACAATTTACTCATTTACCTGTTAGTGCATATTTAAATAGCTTCCAGGTTTGGGCAATTATGAATAAAGATGCTATGAAAATTTTTTTCTATGATCTTTGGTGGACAGAAGTATTAATTTCTTTTGGATATACCAGCAATGACACTGCTAGGTCATTGTATGGTTGGTTTCACTTGATACTGCCAAAAGTTTCCCTAAAGCCAACTTACATCTCCACCAGCAATGTACAGGAATTGTAGTTGTTTCTCACATCCTCACCATGGCCTTATTTTAAATGCCACTGTATATATGATACATAAGACAAAGTCTAGGACAGGTTCAAAGTTGTCAGTCAGCTTAAGACCAAAAAGCTGGGACAACAGAAGGCAATAGCTTCAGTGCAAGACAAATTAGGGAGAAAAAGTAAAAGATTCCTCACATCCCCCAAAAATGAGTACTCTTGCCCTACATAGCTTTGGTTTTGAGAAAAAAGTGGTGCTAGACGTAGAGCTGGGGTTTTCCTAACCACAATGTGACCTTCACTCATTGGCATTAGAACCCGATTGTGTTTGTAAAGCCAAGTGAGTGATGTCAAATGAAGCTGTGTAGTGTTCAGGGGCTAGTGGAAAAAATAAATGCATTTCTGGGGAAACAAACTCTAAATCCAGATAAAAAATAATTCATATAGATGGTTTATCATAGACAAAAAAAAAAAAAGAAAAAGAAATTCAGCAATAACTGAATCATACCTACAAAAGATGCAGACATTACATTAATGAAAAATAAAAAACATTTAGTACAATGACAGCAATGAAAAAGAAATGAGAATATCAAAAGTATGACCAAGGATTAAGAAAATGACTAAAAAAGCCTTGAGGAATATGAAAATTCCTTGACAAATAAAAACTAGCGGATAGGTTAAACAGAAGAAAAGGACAGATAAAATGAGATTTTGAAAACTGGAAAATAGAAATGAAGAAATAACTAAATTCAGAATTGGAAACCATGGGCAGCAAACAGAGATACAAGACAATTAAAGCTCTAACATCCATAACAGCTAAGTTCTAGAAGGGAGAAGAGAAAATAAAGGAGAAAGAATATTACAGAATATTTATTTAGAATTTTATAAAACTGGCTGAAGGCATACCTTAGAAATAGGCTGATCAATAAATCAAAAAAGGACAAGAAACTGATAAACAGTGAAATAGCATTAAAAAACAAAGAGAAATACAAGATTTTCCTTTCTCAAACTAAAAGTAAATAGAAAAATAGAAGAGAGACCAGACAACCTAAACATATGACTTTTTCTGGAAAAAAAAAACAAAAACAAAAAACAAACAAGAAAACATAGAGGCAACTCTATGAAGAAAAATCTTGTTTTAAAAAATTGTTCCTTTACTGTAAGATTTATGTTTTATTTATATTGTGTAGGAGAATTGGGGTATAGGCCAGAGGTGTAGGGAGTGAGATTTACCACAGAAAGGAACAAACAGATCTGCTGAAATACTCTGCAGAGGGCAGCAGCAGGTGAGGCAGGAAAGGTCTCCTGTGCCATGTGGTTTGGCTCCTTGGCCAGGGACTGAACTCTGGTCCCCTGTGGTCATGGCAGTAGTGCTGAGATTTAACCACTAGGCCACCAGGGAGACAGGGAGACCCCCCCCCAAAATCTTTCAACAAGAAAGTCTAGAAATAAAAATGACTTTGACCCTGATATCAGTCTCTCTAGTATACATACACACTCACACTTTCCCCCCTTCACTGCTTTATCTAGATATTTCCAATTTTTGATGACAGTGCCTAATACACAGTAGGCACTGCTTAAATACTTGCTGAATGAATGAAAACATAATGTGTCATGTGTAAACATAAATACAAAAGCAGTAAAAAATCTAGAAGAAAACATAGCATCTCTGCAACCTTGGAAAAAGTAAAGAGGGCACAAAAGGTACCGTGTTACTAAGTCTATTCAAGTTACATTCATGAAAATTAAAAACTTTTGCTCAAAGAGCAACCTACAACTGAAAAAAATCTGTAATACAGCTAACAAAAAGAGATTTCTATACAAAACACAAATCAATAATAAAGTGATAACCCAATTTTTTAAATGGGCAAAAAATTAAAACAGTCAACCATCACATAAGATAAATATATGAAAAGGTACTTCGTATCAGTAGTCATTATGGAAATTCAGATTAAAAACACAAGATACCTGTGTACATCCACTGAAGTTAAAAAGACTGACAACACCAAATGTAACAATGATAGGAAGCAACTGGGACTATTAAAGCATTGCTGACAGTAGTTAAAAAATGTTAAGCAAACAGCTACCCTATCGTCTAGCAGTTACATTCCTACAATTTACCAAAGAGGAGTGAAAACATAAAACCACAAAGAATAATACACAAATATTTACAGCAACAAATATTTATCATAACCTTACATCATCCAAATGTCTATTTATGGTACACTTATATAATAAAATAATAATCAGCAGTAAAAAGAATCTACTCTTGATAAATATAGATGAGTTTCACAGATTTATATTCAGTGAAGAAAGCAATATAACAGTCTACATGATTCCATTTAAGTGAAACTGAAGAACAGAACTTAAGGATGGTTACAAACACTATAATATTTATTTACCTATCATTGGTGGTTAAGGACTGCCTGAAAATGTTGTAACTATGTTGATAAGAATGATCTGTATCTTAAGTAGTAGTTAATATTTGTACACCATTTGTTCTCTATGCACTACACTGTAAATTTACCTCTTTTAAAAAACAGTATTCATGGCCCTCCCTGGTGGTGCAACAGGTTAGGAAGTAGCATTGAAAGCTAGCGGCAGCCACTTCAGTGTGGGTTAGATGCCAGGCTCCACAGGTGACCCATGCATGCAGCACAACAGACCCCTTCCTGACCTGCCCACTGTTCCCCTCAGCAGTGTACTTCGTTGATCTGCCTGTTCTGCTCCCTACTCTGTCTATGGTGAATCCTCTCATCGCCCCTGCACCTCTGGCTTGTACCCCATCTCTGTATGCATAAATAATAACTAAATCTTAAAAAGAAACAATAGAGTTCAGACTAAAAAAGACAAGATTACATACAAAAGAAAAGCACTCAGAGTGATCATGACTTCTAGACTGGAAAAATGGGAGCCAAAAGAAAGGAGCAAAACACAGTGATGAAAATAAATACTGATCAGAATATATGCTCAGAAAATCATCTTTCAACAACTAAGGGAAATAAAAGACAATTCCATAAAAACAAGCACAGAGTTTATTACTAGCACACTCTAAATGACTTTCTTTGAAGAAAAGGTGTTGTCTCTATTTTACATTTCTACTGTAGGCACAGTCTAACTACCTTGATTTTCAAATCCAAATAGTGTTCTCTTAATCACATAATACAGCAGCCTCTCAAGAAGGAACTACATGGCAAACAAACTTATATTTAAATAAATACTGATAAACTAAAAAAAAAAAATAAATGAAAAACGGTAAGTTTCTGTAGAGTAACAGAATAGAAAAAAGTGTTAAGTTTCCAAGCCAGTCATTTTAGAGGAAGTCATTTTAGTCATGGTACCCCTAATACAGAATTTTTAATTTGGTACTATTTCTGGTGTAGCATCAAATCCTGATCAAAGATCTACCTTCTTTTTGGCTCAAGCCCTGAATCCTACCTTAAGAACAAATCTTTAGTTTTAACATTACCTACCAACCCTGTTAATGCCTTTGGCATATAGGTCAAGTTTTAGAATTATTCATGCTGGGGGCCTCTCTGGTGGCACAAGGGATTAAGTCTCAGAACAATGAAGCTATCACCATCCACTGCAGTCCTGAGTTTAATCCCAGGCCAGGGAGCTGACACACATGGTAGAGAAGACCTTTCCTGTCACACCCACTGCTCCCCTCAAGCAGTGTATTTCAGTCAACCTGCCTGTTCTGCTCCCCACTCAGTCTCTGGTGAACGCTCTCACCCTCCATACCTCTGGCCTAACCAGGTTCTTATATGCATAAATAACTAAATCTTTAAAAAACAAGCAAAATCATTCACGCTCAGTTTCACTCTATTAGACATCCATCTATCTGAATGTGTCTGTAATAACCAACTTTTGCCTGCATCATAGTCAATCTTCATCTCAGTCTGCCATGTTGCTCTTTAAATCATCACTTTAGAGCTGACAGAATTAATGAGCACTCCCACTCTAATTACCAATGATCTACTTTGAGTTAATACTATAGTTAATAAGTAGACTCAATTTCCCAAACTTTGATGATTAGTTAAGCCATGTGACCATGTTTTACAAATCAAAGGAAGCCAGATAAACCAAAATACTTCTATTTGGGAAACATGCCATGCTGCTTCTAGAAATTAATTCACAAGTGAAAATTCTTCAATCATTGAAATGAAGTAGAAGGTACCACATTTTAAAACATCTTTCAGGCTTTCTCGATTCTCATACAAATGCAAAGTTAAAACCTATAAATTGCAGCAGGAGATAGAAAGTATGTTATAAAAATGGTCAAAGATCAATCAATGCATTAAAGGACGTAGACTGTAATCATTACATAAAATAAAAATTCTGGCCCTCCCTGGTGGCGCAGCGGGTTAAAGCACAGCACTGAGAATCTAAAGCCGCTTCAGCATGAGTTCAATTCCCCCCTGCCCCGGAGGTGACCACAAGGTGTGGCAGACCTCTCCTGACCCGCCCTGCTGCTCTCCACAGCAGTGTACCTCAGCAGTGTACTTTGTCGATCTGCTTGTTCTGTTCCCCACTCTGTCTCTGGTGAAGCTTCTAACCACCCCTAGGCCACTGGCCTGTACCCCGTTCTGTATGCACAAATAAACAAATCTTTAAAAAAATAAATAAAAATAAAAAATAAAAATTCTTATCAGATGTATCAGGTGGGTTAAAACCTTATCTTTTAGAAATACCAACAACAGATTTACATATTTTACATAGATAAAGAAAGCAATTTGGATTAAAATAATTATCAGAAAACTACATCTAAGTCAGGACATTTCACAAAATAAAAAAATCTGTATTACAATTTCTCTTCTCCAAAAAAAGGTAGTACTATCCAGAATAAGCCCTTTCTTACAGTTCCTACCCTCGCTCAAGCTTTGCTTAAACCAAAGGAGCAAAGAAGCTTTTCACTCAGATAAAAAAATGAGAAGGTTAGGGATATAGAGACAGAGGACATTAAAGTAAGAGGCTTCTAAATCACTTATTCTAAAATGTGGCTGCCATCAGGATTATCTGGCTCCATCTCAAACCAATTAAACCAGGACAGAGTCTAACCAAAATTGAAATAAATTATATTGCAGTTTTTATTTGAAGAGAAAATATTAAGCACTGAATTATAAAACAAAGTGTCCTAACTATGTAGATGATGTTACAGGTCTGAATGTCATCCTCAAAACAATGGGAAATCCTGGCAAAATTTTAAACATGGCAGCAACAATCTATTTGCAGACTGATCTAAATACTGCTAAATTTTTACTATTACTTTCCTATAGAGAATGTCCTGACAAGTATTTCAGGAAACTTGGGACTATTTAATAGAAGTGCTAGAATCATCAAGCTAGCATAGCTCAAATACATTAATAAGAGCATTCATTAATAGCACTCTATGAATTCCACTTTCACTAATGCAAGACTTGGATCATAATTTACTCTTCATGTATGCTTTTTTTACATGGAAGAGACTTTGCTGTCTAGACACCCCAACTTTGTAAGAAAACATAACACTTTACACGTCTCACTAGAAATTAGAAAATCAACACTGTGTTCTGTCATTAAATGTGCCCCATTTAGTGGTTATTTACAGTTTTGTCTGCACAAAAAGCACCTTTCATCTTCTGTGAAATTTCTCATATGGTTTTGGTGAGAAGACTACCAATGATAAACTTCACTTTCCAGTCAAATGAGTTAGTGTTTGACCTAGAATGCACCCTTCAGTACATTCACCCCCTCCTGGTTACAATGACTGGCTGAAAGGATGGGAAATGGCCTAAGTTAGATCAATTCTCTAGGTTTTAAACACTGAAACTTTCTTCAATGTTCAGGCTCTGCAGGCATGCGATTCCAAAACAAATGACCACCGCAACTCCATCAGAGTGCAAAAGCTTAAAGAGAAAGTAGTGAAAAGAAATGCAAAGGAGATTCTGATGTATTATAATATGACTTGGTCAAGTTCCCGAAACCAGTTCTATCTATGCCTTTCTGGATTTTATAACTACTTCTTTCTTTTTGCTTAAACCAGTCTAAGCTGGATTTTGTCACTTGAAACCAAGAGACGAAACATTCCAAGTTAGGAAATATTGAATGAAAGTGCTTTTCAGTATATAGTATTGGCATCATCTTCTACTAGGCTTTGTTCTGTACAGGAAAGAAAGACTCCACACTTTTTGCAGGGATAAGACATTAAAAACAATAAAAGATTACACACAAGGTTAGCAAGCATTGTAGATTTGTTTAGATTAGAGCATGGGGCGAGGGAAATGCACTGGACTATGGTGATGGCACAGGGTGATTTGGTGATGGGAAGCCCATGGGGATTACAACTGAGACGGAAAAGGCACAAAATGATGTAAAAATAAACTATTATATATATTTAAAAAAAAAAAGTAGAGCATGGAAGAACTATGCCATATTAAAAAAGAATTAAGCCTCAAAAGACCAAGGTCCTCACTGTGTCCTGTGCTACTTGTTACCATGGCATATCACTTATTCTCTGTAAACTACAGCGACAGTAAAAGCATTCTCCTCATCCACATTATCCCATAGTAAACAAAGAGAAAACTGTAAACTCACTTTACATCTAAATTCCACTTTCTGTTTTCCATGTCTACTTTTAAAGACATAAACGTCTCAAAGTTCTTGACCACCAACAAAACATCCCTCCAAATACAAATGATTCTCAAATGCTGATGTCCAATATATCTAGTATAAGTTTAATGTTATCTTAAAAACAGCTTTACTTTCCAACTTCTAAAGACATTTAAAACCAGAAATTCTAGTTTTCTTTCTTGATCCTACTAAAGCTTACGGATCCTTGTCCAGTTAGTAATTTAGCCCTCAAAAAAGTTTAATAGTCTACAAGACCACAAAGCATTTAAAACTAATAATAAATCGGGTGTGTGTGTGGGGGGGGGGGGAGGGACCCTCCACGTAAATGTCAGTCAAGAAGTGAGTGTAGTGGAGTAGAAAGAGCCCTAATCCGAAATCAGGAGATCAGCAGGTAAACTTTCCTCTGTCTTTCTTTCCCTCCAAAGATCAAGAATTACTGATTAAAGTTTCCCAATTCCAATGAGTGAGCTTTGAGACCTTTTACTCTGTTGGTTAGTTTGGTCTCAAAAATACCAAAAGCCCAAACCAACCAACCAACAAACTTTTCGAAGGTGCACTTTCAAGTTCAGGCCCCGCTTCTACTCCACATGTGGGCTTCGAGTCCACAAGTGAACGGTGACACCAAGGCTACTCCTCAAAGAGACAGTTAAAACAGCACCTTCTTATTGTTTTGGCAATAAATGGGGAACTTTGCCCCAAGCAAATCCTCGACGCCGAGCTTAGAGGGTAGAGGACTTGTTTGCTCTTCTCATTCTGTGAGACCGGACCCAGCCCCTCCGCCCGGATCTCCCGACCAGGAAGAGGAACTGGGTCCGGGTCGGAACCGACCAGCCCGAGCCTCAGGCTGCGCCCCGAGGCTCCCGGGCGCCGTCACAGGGACCCGGGCTGCGGTGAGGCGGCGGTGTGGAGGTTGGGGCCTGGGGTCGCCCTCGGCCGGAGAGCACGGAGGAGGCCTGTGCGTGGCGGTCACCAGACTCACCTCGGCGTCGTCTTTGCACTGTGGGAGCGACGGGAACTCCAGCTTCATGTCCTCCATGGTCCCTGCCCGAGAGCTGGTGGGTGGGGTGGGAGTTTTCCGGTTGGCCCGACCCTCAGGCTGGCAGTGGCGGTGAAAGGAAGAAGGGCAGTTGGGCCGGAGAACTGGCGGGCGGGCAGCGGGCTCACAACTAACACACGCAGACGTAAAGGTCCCAGCGACTCCGGCGACGGCGGCGGCGACGAGGAGGGTTGGGCGGCTCGTGCCCGGCCGCCATGCTGCTGCCGTCTTCCTCCCCCCCGAACTCCGCGCCCCTCAGGCCGCCCAGGCTCCGGCTCTAGCACGAGAGCTACAACCGTCGCCCCGCCTCCCCGCCCACCCCCCCACCGCGCCGCCCCAGCCAATCCCAGCACACGCTCGTCCTCAACCCGCCCGCCACGGCCGCCAGGTGTCAGTGCGCCGCCACCCCGCCCCTCCGCGAGAGCGCAGACGCGGGGGGCGGGGCCTGGAAGGCGCAGCGGCGGGAGCGCACCCCGCATGGAGGAGGTGGGGCTGCGGCGGGAGGGAGGCAATGACTGAAGGACAGCCCAAACCCTTCCCCAACAGCGGGCGAACGTCTTCGCTGGTATAGGAAAGGGCAATATATCCCAGCCAGCAAAAATTGGCTCCCGAAATAACACCGTTCCTCCCCTCTCAGAAGCCTGTAATCTATGGTACAACCTAGGTTATAGCCAAAGGGGCAATAAATGACTTCATTCTAAAACTAGGTTGTGCTACACAGAAAATAAAACACCCATCATTTCTAAGAAAAATGAAACCGGGAACCTGTAAGAATACTAGAGAAAATGATAACTAGAATAGCTAGAAAGACAAATAGAAAAGTCTTAAGACAAAAAACAACTGATCATTCAGTGACTTGTACATAATAATGTTATCTTTTATTCTGTTTCATATTTTCACATATTAATAAACATCACTCTTCAGTATCTTTTTTAAAGGAGTTTGAGTCAGAGTTAAAACTGCATTGTTAATAAAGGCTAGGTTTCACTGGGCCATGAGATATACTTTTTGTTTTTAAACAGGTGAGGAAAATCAATCGCAGAAATGGGAAAAAAAACACAATTAAACTTAAAAGGTCTGTACAACACACTGATTCTTCAAGCAACATTGTCACCAGCAAAGTAAAAAGGCAAGTGATTCATTAAATGGCAACTCAGAGTGAACAGAGTAAAACGAATCACATGGATATTTGATCCCCACCCCTTTAACAAACATACATTTTATAGTCATATTTATGAACTACATTGCCAACATGAATAGAATCGTTTAATAACTTTAGTATAAGCATGAGTAGTCTGTTTTCACTACCACTACAAACTGCTCATAAAAAGAAACAATAGTCTATAATGTATTGATTCTGAAAAATAATTCTATAATAACTCAGGTAATAAATACACTGTTCATTCTTTAAGGTTTATGATGAAGCTCTTTAATAGCACCTTTAATGATAAAAATCTCAATTGATGTCCAATAATTTCCTACTGTAATGTCTTAAAACTCTCTCTAAAGCTTTAATTACAATTCATAAGAGAAAAAATTGTGTATAGGTAATTCACCCTTGAACACTTCTGACCTTAGTATCTCCTATGTCAGACATTCATTGCTTGATATCCATAAATACCCAATACAGTCCATGGGTGAGCATGAAATAAAATATTTCCTTAGGTTTTAGTTTTACTACATACAAAACCTTTGTATGAGCATGAATTTTCTGGGAAGAGTATCAAGATCTGAATATTCTCAAAAGGAAATAATCATCTCCCACAAATTAAGAAAACAAAAGTCATACTTATTACCAAATATTACTTTTAATCATAATCTTAAATCTTAAGGCTATGGATGTGCACAAATTATTTTAATTAACTATCACACAGCCCAATCACAGTAGGTAGAGAGTAAGACTCACTCTGGAGGGAGTTTTATATATATAGACATACAAACATCCATGTTTTATAGATATATGTAATAAGATGCTTTATGAACACTGAGTATGGGTACTGTTTTAAAATTAAATTCAAAAGCCTATGATGCAAACACAACTTCATCTTAGTTAAGTAATTTACTTAATAAAGAACCTAAAAGGCCATATAGTAAAATTTTTTTATAAAAAACAAGAATATATGTAGGAAAACTGAATTAAACAGCTTTTATTCAACTTTTTAGCATGAGGAAAACAAGTGATATAAAATAAATGATAAGAAATGCTGTCTTTTACTACTATCTCAGACCATGTTCAGTGTTTTACAAAATGCTCACACAGCAAATATGAAAAGCTTCAACATACTCTTATAACTTCTGCTATAGTAAAAGCAGCATTAACAAACATACAAATTTCTTCTGTACCAATCTAAAAGTAGAATTACTGAAATACTAGTTTTTAAAATGTTACCAATACATATTTTTATTCTGTGAATGAGATCATTGCCAATACATACATTATTTTCCTTAACTTTATTTTTACATTAAGCCAGTTTTTGTCATGCAGCTATCAAAAACCTTCTGGTAAAATAATTACACAGGCTTGTAGTCCAATTTAGATTCTAGCTTCTTAGAATCAGCCACTTTTCTGACTGCTTTCATGAAGTCTTCCTGTACTACAAAATCATGATCAGCACGAATTGCAAACATACCTGTGGAGAATAAAAGAACATGACTGCCATATATGTGAAATATTTGTGTTTATTTTTAAAAAACCAAGGGGGTGGGTTGGTGAAATGGGTGAAGGTGGTTAAAAGGTATGAACTTTCAGTTATAAAATAAGCAAAAGTAACATAATATACAGTATGGCACAGTTAATATAGCAATGTATTAATTCTGTATTGTGTATTTGAAAGCTTTTGAGATTTCACATGAGAAGAAAAAATTTTGCTAGAATGTGTGGTGATGGATATTATAATTCTATAATCTATACAAATATCAAGTTAGTTTTGTTGTATAGCTGAAACTAATGCGATATGCCTGTTACACATCAATAAAAAAGATAAAGAAAACTAAATTTTATGGAGCATATGTAAAGTAGCCTCAACTTACTTGCCCTGATTCAGTAATTCTCATTTGTTTAAACCCGCTATCACTTCATTTCCATATAAGGTGAGAATTGTTTTCCAAATCAAAAGTTTAAAAATGAGACAATCACATGAATATTTAAAATTCAGCTCATAGTCCCTGTATCTAATGGAATCTTGAAAAACCCAAAATCCAAACATCAACAAAACATACACATTTTGAGAAGCAGTTTCTTAACTCTATATGCAGCAATTCCTTGGAAGAAAAAGCACATGCATAGTTTGGAAAAACACAAAATATCACTAATAATTTTGACAGTCATTTTCATTATAATCAAAAGCTTCAAAACAAGAAATTAGAGAAAACCAACAGTGGGCTTCAACAAAAATCATTCTGCAATATATTTTATTCATGTCTTAAAATTTATCTTATTTATGTACAAGTTGATATATAATATGACTTTCATATTAAGTATAACTCAATTTTTCCTTCAGTTTTTTGGCCAATTCTACTTGACAAAGGGGTATAAGGTATTTTATTTGTATGTATGTGTTCTCTTTTAACATTAGTTGTGCCAAGGGTATGGGCCCCAAATTTTCAGAGAAGCCTAATTTCATAACAAGCTAAAGCGGATAAAATATCACTACTAGTTCAATGAATCCAGCTAGTATTTCCACTGAAGATATTCTTATATTGACTCTTTACAGACAATGGGTTGTAACATAAGACATCAAGAGTCGATCTTCCCTTTCAAGATTTATCAATGAGGCGTCTTGAAATAGTCTTTCTATGTTGTCCTCATATTGTCAGGTGAATGAACATGACTAATTTTTAATAGTGAAGTTTTCAAACTTGTTTAGAAGCCACAACTACATTAGGTTAATTTATAATCCCAAACACTGCTCACTTGACTGCTTTCAAATCATTGTACACTGCAAGAGATAACACTCTAATCCAAAATGAGTAATCTCAAAATATTAATCATAAAGAATCATATGTATTTTAACTTCTAGGAAGATGTGAAAAAAGAAAACCAAGGAATTTCACAATGTCCCCATATGTTAAAAAAACAACCACTAGTCTAATCCACAAAGTTACAGCTGTTTATGGGAAATAGATAAGTCAATATTTTTAATATGGAAAACAAAGAATCATAATTTGATGATGCCAGCCTTAAACATTATGATTCTGCTTTTGCTTAGATTCCAATGCCACAAAAGTTATCTTCTGATAAAAATCTGATCCAATGTAGATTTTGGAAAGAAAATGTCATTAACTTCCGTTAGGTAATTCCAATCATATGAAAGTTTACCTCTTCATATTCTATTAATAAGACTTTGTGAGCACGACTTACTATGCTTTGTACTAACCATTTCTAGAAAGCATGAGTATCTTTAATCAGATACTAAGCTGCCCATGTAGGTACTTCGACAGACAAGCCATGTTTAAAGTCTCTTTAAACACAGTTAAATCTCTAAGTTAAAATAAATTGAAGATGATATGAAAGATATGAAAACATGAGGAAATCACACACCATAATATTACAGAAAACAGTTCATTATAACCTATGAAAGTCACTAAAAAACCTGTCTAAATTTCTTTCAATTTAAAGATTTAGTATGAAGGACGAAGACTATAAGCAATTCTCCATGGAGTCAGTTGGTACCAGAAGTAAAAGTTGGGTCACACAATCCACAGTGAAATTTATATTTAATTACTACATGTTGAGGTGTGATGATGTACTCCACAAATTATGGTTGTGTGAACAACTGGCAAATCAATAACATTTAACTTTTTAAAAAATTAACTGCATTAAAAAAAGTTACTGCATTTAACATGAGTTGTATGATCACAAACTTCACAAATCAGTCTTTCAAAGCTTTTGTCTGACAGTAGTATCTGAAAACATCAATTTTGCACTCATATGTTATGGTGTGCTGTAAGGCATCCAGAGATACAAAGATAATTGCCAAAGGCAAATATCATCCAATGAAGGGGGACAAAAGAACTGGTAAATAAATACTCCAGTCTTCTATTTTTCAAACAGGTAATCCTGGATGGCACCTGGTATGTTTCTCTGAGGTCTCATTTTTGTCTCCCATAAAGGGTAGGGATGGTTCCAAAGGGGCAACCTTTCCCTCTTTCCATGTTACTTGCTCTGTTCATTCTTAGAATTATTCCCCCCTCCAAAAAAAAACCAAAAAAACAAAAAAACCCCAACAAGCTCAAAATCCTTAAAGAGCATAGACTCTGCTTTCGACAAACTTAAATGTTTTTAGCAAGTTAAACAAATTAAGACCAATATCAAAAACTGCACTTTAAACCCTTACCTGCTTCAGTACAAACATTTCTCAGGTCAGCTCCATTAAAGCCATCTGAAAGCTTCACAATTGCTTCATAATCTGTTGGGGAAAGAGGAGGAAACCTGAAAGTTAGTGGGGAAAAAAAGGCCTTTTCTTTTCATTTATACACACATAGAAAATTTAAATCAATGAGTCTGCTTTTCATTTAATCAGAATTCTACAATATTGACAACCAACATCATACTTCTGTTAAGTAGACATAGAAATAGATACCTCTGAATCTTTAAAACCAGAAAATACCAAAATCTGAAATTATCTTAATCTGTTTCTATGTAGTGAAACAATTACACTTGAGAACTTCAGTTTTCAGTAGTTATATACTTATACAAACTGTAAATAAATCTTCAATTTGAATAAACCAAAACCAATTATAACAATGACAGACTTTACATAAGCCAAATATAAAATCTACTAAAAATGTCACCAGAAAAAAATTTATCATATAGGATTTTTAAATGCTAGAGCAATCATTGGCTAGCTTTTCTGCTTTCTATGCAAGTTCTGAGTGGTGAGTTATCAAATCTATAGTAAAGGTAAAAACAAAGAGAGCTTTCTGGCCACATTGCAGACTTGAAAAGAAAAGCTGCTAGTCTGGGTAGCAATTAAGAACTTAATATTTAACAGAAGTAGTAGTCTTCATTTAGGTTCAAGATGCACAAGTCATCCTGAAAGCAGAGATCCCCAAGGTTAGCAAAGTACTGACATCTTGCAAGAACTCTTGTATTGGAAGAAATCTTTAAACTGACATTTCCAGTTTAGCTCAGTCTTTTCTGCTCAACTCTTTTAAAATGAGCAATGAGAAAATTAGTAAGGGACAACAGTCAACTATTTGCAAATACTTTAGACCACTAACTTTGTAAAGATTTTTAAAAACTCTCTGTATTGGCCTACACCTAAGTCTATTAGGCTTTGCAGGTCATGTAGTCTATGTCAAAACTACACCTTTGTGCCACTGTACTGGAAAAGCAGACATATATAAATGGATTGGAGTCAAAAGGTACACAGAATTTGCCCTATAGCCATGATTTGTTGGCCTCTAATCCAGTATTACACTTCTATAGATAAATATTTTATCAGTTATGTCCTCCAATCTATAACCATACTTTCTCATTTTAGTCTGAATTGCTTCCTGTTTCACTGAAAAATAAAAGCATTCATAAGAAAAATCTTACAATTTTGTGCTTTAAGAAAGTTATCAATACCTGTATTCTGCCTTCCCTATTAATGAAAAGACCCTTCTCAAATAAAGTGCATTATTAATTTCTTTCTCTCTTATCAGCATCAACAGTGTTGTAAGTTCTTCCATCTTAAACAAAGCTTTCCCAAATTTCTCATCTCCATCTCTGCTATAACTCCATTTCTCCTCTGCTCCCTTCTGTTCCTTGAAAGAAATGTCTAAACTTAATGCCTCTCTTCCCATCTATTAAAGCCCACTCCAAAGAAATTATTTTTGATACGATTTCCCATGACCTCTACACAGTAAATCCAAAGTTCCATTCTCAGAACTCTTCTCAACAAACACATTGTGGGTATTTGACAAGTATTCTCCTGTCTTATAAAACAATTTCTTTATGTATCGTTCAGAATACCCCCAGCCTCCTTTGATGGTTTTTCCTTTTTTTACATTTTACTTATTTTACATACAGAAATGGGGTATAGGCCAGAGGTGCAAGGGCAGCAAAAGCATTCACCAGAAACAGAGTGGGGAACAGAACAGGAAGATCCACAAAGTACCCTGCTGAGGGAGCAGCGGGCAAGACAGGAGAGGTCTGCTGCACAATGTGAATCACCCCTGGGGCGGGGGTCAAACTCCCACTGAAGCAGCCATGCCTTGGCTTAGCTTCCCAGTGCAGCACTCCAACCTGCCGCGCCACCAGGGAGGGCCCCGCTGATGGTTTTTCATCAAAATTTCTTACTGTGAGAATTACCACAGCTCAGCTTTTGGCTTCTTTTCTATCCATATTCACTTCCAATCTCACCTCATTTCAGGACCTCAAAAACCACTGTTATGCTCACATTATTCACATTTACGGTACCTCCAGCAAATAACTATTAACATATACAGATTACTAATCAATACCTTTATGTGGCTATCTAAATGGTAGCTCAAATTTAGTATATTCAGACTCAAATTCCTTATTATCACTAAAAATCCTAATCTTTGCAGGGGTCTCCAATGGTGGCCTAGGGGTTAAGTCTCAGCGCTATCATGGTGATGGGCCCACGGAAACAGCGTGAGTTCAATTCCCAGCCAGGGAGCTATCCCACATATGGCACAGCAGACCTCCCCTGTCTTACCTGCTGCTCCCCTTAGCAGTGTACTTCAGTAAAATCCACCTGCTCTTCCCACTCTGTCTCTGGTGAATCCTCTCACCACCCCACCCCCTGCCACCTCATACATCTCTGCCTATGACCTAGCTCTTTTACACAAAAAATAAATACATTTAAAAACATCTTTATAAAATAAAGTCCTTAACATAGTAAAAAAACAACAACCTAATCTTTATAGTTTCCCCCACTTTAACTATTGGCAACTCTCATCTTCTTTTCCACTTCAATGGACACAAAAATCTGTCCTTGAATCTTCTCTTTAGCTCTTATCCCCTCATTCAACACAACAGCAAGTCCTGTCACTTCTATTTTGAAAATGTATCTAAAACACTCTGCTGCCACCTTAGATCAAGCCACCATTATCTTTTTGCTCGATTACTGAAAACTCCTAACTAATCCTCCTGCTTCTAACCTCCTCTCTCTACAGATAGCCAGAAAGACCTTACTAAAATAGATTTTGAAAAATATACACATGCAATGATGTGATGTCTGTGATTTGCTTTATAAAAATGCAGAGGAAAGGTAAGAGGTGGGAGATTATATATAGACAAACCAAGACTAGCTAAGAGTTAATTACTAAAGCTGGGCGACAAGTCTGGAGTGAGAAGTGCATTATATTCTAATCTCTACTTCTATGTAGTCCTAAAATAGATTGTAAAAAATTTCAAAATAATAAAAAGATCTTATCTTTTCAATAATAATAACCCTCCAGTGGCATCTCTATCATTGAAAATAAAAGCCAAAGTCCCTGCATGCATGATGTCCTCATTAAGGCGCTATTCTGTATCATCCTCATTGCTTCTATGAACTCACTTGCCACTACTGTACCTTGATGTCTTTGCTGCTCCTCCAGAGTTCTATGCTTGGCTGTATTTCAAAGCCTTACTTGCTGCTTTCTCTGTCTAATCTTCTCCTAAATATCCATATCTATGTGCCTCACCTTAGAAATCATCTTTTGGGTAAGGCCTTCAAGGTGCTCCTCTTCCCCATCACCACTTAAAAAAGTATATATTCATACATGCTCCTATGCATTCTTTCCTTGCTTTATTTTTATCCATAGCAGTTACCACCATCTAATATATGATACACACTGTTTACTCTGGTTTTCTTGGCAAAAATATAAGTTCTATAAAGACAGGAACTTATCTGTTTTGTTCATTGTTATACCCCCAGTACTTAGAACAATGCCTAGCATCTAGTATGTGCTCAAAAAATGCTGTCTACTGAATTTAAAACTAGATTTCATAGACTATCAGACTATACATTATCTACCAAATACAAACATATAAAAAATAGGTTATTTCCATACCTATTTCACCATGCTTTGTAATAGGACCCGCATGGATCTTCAGTATATCTAATCTTGCTTGTTCATTTGGTAAGTCAATATCTGCAAAAAATAAATTGCAAGAATTTTTTTTCTCCTTTGGCAGCAAGGCATTTGTTTATAAAATAAAGTGAAGAGTGAGGAAAGGCATTGGGAGGGAAATGTACAGCAGCTAAAGAACTTTAACTCACGTATTTTTCTATCTAATCTTCCTGGACGGAGCAAAGCAGGATCCAGTGTATCTGGTCTGTTTGTAGCCATGATCATTTTAACTCTGTGCAGAGTATCAAATCCATCCATTTGATTCAGTAACTGTAAATAAAAATAATAGATTTTACAAAATACCCCAATCATTCAGACAGTCTGTTTTTACATGTCTAACATTATAAATTTCTTATAGATTTGTGATGTTCAGAATGATCATGGAATTATATTTTCCTCTCTTTTAGTAAGATATAGTTTCCATCCTCAAAGTATCGAATTATGAAACTAAATTATGTAATCTGGTTTCCAATGATCAAATGCTTTTCATGCAGCTACTTTCAAAAATAAAGACTAGTAAAGAAGACATACAGATGGCCAATAAGCACATAAAATGTTTGACATTACTTATCATCAAGGAAATGCAAATCAAAACCACAATGAGATACTACCTCATAGCCATGAGTATGGCTCATGCTAAAAAATACATGAACAACAAATACTGGCCAGTGTTTAGAAAAAAAGGAAACCTTGTACGCTGATGATAGGGATGTAGACTGGTCCTGTCCCTATAGAAAATATGGAGGTTCTTCAAAATATTAAAAATAGATATATCACACGATTTAGTCATTCCAACCCTTGGTATTTATCCAAAGAATGCAAAAACACTAGTTTGAATGACATACAACACTCCCATATTTACTGTAGCACTATTTACAGTAGCCAAGCTATGGAAATAGTGTATATGCCAAAGGACAGACAAAGTGCTATATATATATATATACACACACACACACATATATATATATATATAAACTCACACACAAAATTACATTTAATTCAATAAAAGCTAATAAAAGAGCTAAAATCTTGCCAATTTGTGACAATATAGATGGAACTGGAATGGCTTATACTAAGTGAAATGTCAGAAGGAGAAAGACAAATATGACATTATTTCACAGCCATGTGGAATACAAAGAAACAAAAGAACAGACAAAATTAAACCAAAACAAGACCTAGAAATACGAATGCAGAATTGAAGCTACCAGAAGAGAAAGGTTGGGAGGGTGGGGAGTATGGAGATAGTAGGCCCAATGGTTTATGGTGGAGGATTATAGGTGCTTTAGTGGTAGGTGTGGTGTAACATACAACTGAACAAGTACGTGAACCTATATTCCTAAATCATATACAGTGTTGTAAACCAATGTGTTACTTAAAAAATAAATACTGGTCCTCCCTGGTGGCGCAGTGGGTTAAAGTACAGCACTAAGAAGCTAAAGCCACTTTCACATGAGTTCGATCCCGGAGGTGACCACATGGCGTGGCAGACCTCTCCTGACCCGCCTGCTGCTCCCCTCAGCAGTGTACTTCGTCGATCTACCTGTTCTGCTCCCCGCACTGTCTCTGGTGAATCCTCCCACCCTCCACATCTCTGGCTTGTACACCAGTTCTGTATGAATAAATACATCTTTAAAAAATAATAATAATTAATAAATACTAACAAAATCTAATGTATAAGGAAAACTTAATGATATGACAGTAAGATAAACAGACACAAAATTTTTTTTTAGCAAAGTTAATAGTTAACTGTATAAAGTATCTTTTCAAAAATATTATACATAGAAATACTGGGGTGCTAAGAATATGTCCCCATGTTTTCTATTCTGAGTTAAGTGCTGAAAAACCTAACTCTCTTCAACAGTTATTTAAATATAGTTATCTGACAAATTATATTTTTCCCAAAATATGCTAGAAGAATAAAATTAACATTTGCAATCATTTTAAAATACCTCAATTTAAAGTTTCTATGAAATTGCATAGCTAATTTAAGGATACTGTATATCTTCTGAGCAGATCAGTGTAATTTATGAAAAGCAATTTTTAAATGTTACCATTATTCCAATTGAGAAAATTTGATACAGCATTACCTGTAATAGTTTCGACTTACTTAAGTGTGAAAATATTTGGGATTCTCTATCAGTGCTATAGAAATTGCAGTGAGTAAAAGGAATGTATGTGGGAAAGGTTATACATACTTTTTTTCCTTTAAAAAGGTTTAATTATTTAATTATTTATGCATACAAGAACTGGGACACAGTTCTTGTGAGAGAATTCACCAGAGACAGGGTGGGGAACAGAGCAGGCAAATCTATTGAAAGACACTGCAAAGGGGAGCAGCAGGTGAGACAGGAGAGTTCTGCTGCACCATGTAGCAGAACATTCCTGTTCCTCCTTGGCCAGGAATCGAACTTGGGTGCCGCAGCGGCTGCAGATAGCTTCACAGTGCTGAGTCTTAACCCGTGGCGCCACCTTAGTGTCCCTAATACATACATCCTAATATCCCATCATTCATTCTTAATTATCTTCATTCACTCATTCTTAAGTATCTTAACACTTATTATTAAAAAAATTTTACTCCTCTCATTCTCAACAATAGAAGAAAGTGTCAAGACACATTTAGAGAGGCCGCACACATAATTGTAACTCATTTATTGCTACCAGTCTTAATATGTCCATTACTCATAAAATACCTTAATAAAACTAGGGCAAGATCATGTACACAATATATGAAGTGCAATTTAAATACATGAATAACTGATCTGTTCATAAAATAGTAAAGTTGTATATCAAATGGAATTCTGTAGATACTATTATTTTCTAGTAGTCATTTTTTTGCTAGAGAAAGAAAACACATTTCTGGCACATACTGGCAATACCAGCAGAAGTTTTATACACAAGTTATTCTTCATTTAAATTGTACATATTTTGACCTTCAAATATTCTATGTTCAGTTCTTCATTTAATAAACACTGATTTACTTATAAATCCCATTCAATCATATATTACCTCCATTAAAGTTCTCTGAATTTCTCTATCAGCTGAAGTACCCTCAGAAAACCGACGACCACCTAAAATAATAAACTCACATGCATTACTTTTTTCCTCTATGGCATCATTTAGCAAAACAAAACATGATAGTGTCTGAAACCAAAAACAGTTAAATGAAAATTAATTCACAGAATTATATCAACAAAGTTAGAACAGAATTTAACATAGCATTTCTCATTCTGTCAATGTGAAATATTATTTATTAAAAAGTTAAGCTTTCTTAAGAATATTTTAAAGTAACATCCAATGCAAATGAAGGCAAAGTGAGAGGGGAAAGTTTAACATTTTTTAAAAATTTCTTAACACTTGCCACAAAAGTTTAAAAGAAATTTTAAAAGGTGTTTTTCTTACCAATTGCATCTATCTCATCCATAAAAATGATACACGGCTGATGGTCTCTGGCATAATTAAACATTTCTCTGATCAAACGAGCACTTTCACCAATATACTTGTCTACAATAGAACTAGATACAACCTGATTAAAGGAAAAACACATTTAAACATAAGACAATTTCAAATAAAATTTTATTTCAGTAACTACTTAAACAATCTTTCTTTTACCTTTAAGAAATTGCAGTCCAGCTGGCTAGCCACAGCTCGTGCCAATAGTGTTTTTCCTGTGCCTAAGAATGAAAATCCTAATTAGATGGAAAGTAAAACAAATATTTGACAGCCTTTTGAGAATGTAATTCTTTGGTTAGCCAATTTCACAAAGTGGAAGCTAAATCTTAAATAGAAATTCCATTTAAATTCCAAAGCTGTATAGAGATGTCAAATTATATGTGTACAATGAAAACTTAAGTCAAACTTTATATAAAAGAAAAAAAACTGGCCACCCCTGGTGGCACAACTGGTTAAAGCACAACATTATGAAACTATTGCGGCCACTGAAGCATGAGTTTGATCCCCAACCAGGGAGGTGACCCACATGGTGTGGCAGACCTCTCCTGACCTGCCCACTGTTCCCTCAGCAGTGTATTTTAGTACATCTCCCTGTTCTCCCCACTCTGTCTCTGGTGAATCCTTTCACCTTCTGCATCTCTAGCCTGTACCCCAAGTCTGTATGCATAAATAAATAAATCTTAAAAAAGAAAAAGGGGAAAAAAGTAAGCAAATAAATAGTAGTTAAAAAAAATTCCATGCACATTTATTCCCAGTATTAAAATTTTAAATTTTATTTAAAATATCCCTTGAAATTCTATTTTAGCAAAATGAATTTATAACTTTATATATCAAACCCACTTACAAATAGACTTCAATGAAAATATCTGTTACATTAAAGCCCATTAACCCATCCTATACACTGAATGTGTATCTTTTATGATGTATGATATATTGCAGCATCTATTTGGAAATAATTGGTTCAGTGAGTTATACCAACCTTCCAGATGTTTTTCATTACTTAGTACTACAAAAAAATCTAGTGTCACCAATTTCATTAGAAAAGTCTTTTTAAAAATTAACATTAGAAAACTGGCAAGCTCAAGTGATAGATGAAAATTTTCAAAAATTCTAATTTTCACTTGAAAATTCAAATTATACAATAGGTACAGATGCTGTAACACGACAAATTAACTTTACTCATACTTTAAAAAATGTGCCAGATAACCAGTAAGTTTGATAAGCATAGATATCCTGTAAACCAGACTTTGAAATAAAACATGATATTCCACCAAGAGGAGCTGGCTTCGCTAACAACTAAAATAACTGCACAAGTGTTTTCCTAAAGATAACTATCTTACTCACTGTGCAACAGAAGCACTTTAAACAGAAGAAGACATTATTTAAGAATCAAGATTTAATACATTTAATAATTTTGATAGATTCACTGAGAATATTTTAAAGTGAAACTGGCATTTATTTTCAAATACTGCAAGTGGGAATGGTTAAGAAAGCAAATATTAGCATCACTTCATGCTAGTGACTAAACGGATTCATGCAAAGGCATGACCAGCTTTACCTACATTGCTTAAGCACCATCAGCATAGATTTTAAGAGTGAAAAAGGAAACTAACACCTTAGTATTATGTATGTAAGTTTTAATTTGCAGACTTCCCAGAAGTTTCTCAAGAACAACTATAACCATAGTTTGAGAACCACTGAACAAAAATCACATCTGTTAATATACATACAGAATGAGACACAGGAGGATTAAGCATGCCTGAAGAAATAGTAGACATGTATCTCCAATAACTTCTTTAAACAGAGTATAGGTTGGAATCTCCCACATTAAGTCTCCATCTTCTATTTTCCTCTTACTTCATTATTAGTACAGCAGAAATAATTTAATACCCACCTGGTGGTCCATATAACAAACAGCCTTTGGGAGGTATTATTCCTACACGCTGGAAGAGTTCTGGGTTTGTAAGTGGTAATTCTATCACCTACAAAAGAAGTTGCATGTTTCTAAAAGTCAGTAAAGATTTCCATGTAATTTCAAATTTCAAGTAAAATATTAATACAAGTTTACACATTATAATTCGTAAGTTTTGATTTTTATGCTATGTAAAGCCACTTATAAAAAAGGTATTTCTTCAGCTAGATTAAAGCTCTCAGCTCTAAAAAATTTTTAATAATTTTTTAAAAATGAATTTAGGGCCCTCCCTGGTGGCACAGTGGGTTAAAGCACTGCACTGAGAAGCTAAAGCCTCCTGTGCATGAGTTCAATTCCCGCCTGCTCCGGAGGTGACCACATGGTGTGGCAGACCTCTCCTGACCCCCCCCCCGCTGCTCCCCTCAGCAGTATACTTTGTCGATCTGCCTGTTCTGCTCCCAATCTGTCTCTGGTGAAGCCTCTCACCGCCCCTGAGCCTCTGGCCTGTACCCCAGTCCTGTATGTACAAGTAAAATAAATCTTAAAAAAAAAATTTAAATGTGTGTCAATAGTTTTAAAAATCATACTCTTGGAGAGATGGTTACACATGTCAAAACATGTTCGAATCATACAGGTATAAGATCTCTAACTATTTTGCTTTAGAATACAATACAAAATAATTGTAAAATGAGGAAATTTGGTGAGTTATAATTGCAGTCAAGAGGAAATACATATAAAATTTTCATACATTGGTATGGTTGCTGTAGCAAGCTTTAGAGAAGCAAATGTTCTACTCCCCATGTCTTACAAAGATTGTAAGACACACTGTCCTCTTAGAAGTATGATCTCAAGAAAACTGCAGACTAAATTTTAAGAATTTGTGCAATTTAAAACTCTATTTATAGTACTATTAACTAGAGATAAGCCTGTGTGAAATAGCTGTGCCTATAAAGAGTGATTAAAACATATCCAAAGAGTATAAGTAAGTATTCTCAGTGTTTTCAGATGGAAAAGGTACTGCATATTGGGGGGATAGGGAGTAGCTATTTCTTCTGCTCTTATGGCTGATGCAACAAAGCACTATAAAAGAAAAGTTTTCACAGTTCCATGAAGTACCTGTTCTTCCCCATTACCCTTTCATTAACTACAAAAATGAGAATAGGCTTTTATGTATGTTTTGGACAATGCTTCTTCAAGCATGATCACCTGTATGGATCACAAGTATGGTTTCATAATCACCTCTTGTGATTATTAATACTTGTTTAAATGCTAATTCCTGTGTCCTATCCCCAATCTAGTGCATCAAAACTCTATGAACAGTACTTAGAAATCTGTATTTTTTAATAAGAGTTCCCCAAAGGATTGCAACTGAGATGGAAAAATGCACAAAATGATGTAAAAATAAACTATTAGAAAAAATTAATGTGCTACAGTCTGAGAACTACTGGCTGAGATCTTAAATAAAATAGGTCATTTTGACTACCCTCATTCATTCCGAAATATTTCCATTTTAAGTTAGGACAAAATTAATAGGATAATGTATTTTGTTTAAATTGCTAAGAAGCCATCTGTGCCATGAAACAAGACAATCCAGATTTAAGCCATTCTGAAAGCCATTATTTTCCTTAAATACCAGGAAACAGCTATATCCACTTTAAGGGTAAGAGGTTAATATTAGTGGGATTATGGGAAAAACATTACACATGTTATCCACATATGTTCTAAGGCAGGTAACCTACTATGATAATCAAAAACACACATGGCATTGTATCAGTTATTCTTTGGTGCAAAAAGAGAAGAATTTTTCTAGCATCAAATTGTCTCAAAATTAATAAACATCTATAAGTTCCATAGCTAGAAAGGCAGTATTATTTTCCTCTTACCAAGAACATTAAAAATAAAATTTTCAGCAACTACTCTTTGGAGTAATGTTTCAAACTCTTTCTCCCTCTAGGCATCTCAAAACCAGCAGTATTTATTAATAAGTTCAAGAAAAAAGCATACATTACCAACCTCTCTTAATTCTCGAATCTGTTCTGACAGCCCCCCAATCTCAGAATAAGAAACATTCCCTGGGTCCTCATGAGACATGTTATAAACTAGTGGATCCACCTCTCTTGGCAAATATCTGTAATGATAAGGTAGAGATATTTCTTTTAAAAGTTAAATTTTCTCTCAGCCTACAGATAGAATATAAAAGACTTGTACATGCAAGAACCTGTATATGAGCTTATTAAAAATTTGTTTAAGTTAATTTGAAATTAGTAAAAGAACAACAAACTATCCAGTGCTTTCAAGAAACATATTTTGGATAGAATCTCCCCTCTGTGAAAATAAAAAGTTAAAGAAATAGAGTAAGGTACCTACCTCATGATAGTTAGTGTAGTCATATCCAAAGCAACTCTTGTTCCTGGCTTCAGCTTACTTTTGTCAAGCTGATTTTTTAAAACAAAAGGCATCACATAAATACTTGAAAAGGGAAATAACACTTTAACAAGGGTTAATATTTAGAAGCCAATTAATCATTTTAACTCTTCAAGACAGGACATACTTGACACTAGGCTATAAACACCACATCAAGAGAAGGGCTTATAAAAGTAGTAATTCAAAATTATTTCCATCTGCCCCATAAAAGAACTCCTTTTTTTTTGTAATTTCAGTGTGAAAAGTAAACTCACAATACACAAAGTTCAAAGAGGCAGTGGTCTTGTATTTGATGAAGGAAATTTTCAGACTTACTATTTAACATAGTTTTTTGCTCACTGTTTTGATTCAGACATTGTAGTACAGGGACACTGGCAAATGGTATCAAAATATTTACACAGAAATCCACTAGTGAATATTCTGGGGAAAAGGAAGTATAGCATTTTAAAGTATGTCCATTAGATTTATTTTTAAAACTAAACCTTTGGAAAGAATGTGTTACTTGATCATAGACTATAAGGAGGAAATGCACTATTATATCTGCTTAAGAGATTTTTGTTAAAATGCTAACAAACAAAACTCCAACAACCATCAATTATGCCTTTGCTACATGACAGATACTATGCTAAGTATATCCTATGTTAGGGTGAAGCATGCTAAATAAATTGTTGGCACATTTAAACAAGATAACATATTCGGTAGACGTGGCTAGAATCTAATAGATTCACCTGACACTTTGGGTGTTACTTTTCAAAAATAAAGTTAAAAATAGTTAAAACAAAAACTACTTGCCAATATAATTTCAGGTCATAAAAATTTCTTTACACTTTTCATAAAATTTTGCAAAAACTGTTTTAAGTTTAGAATTTTGTGTCAATTAAAAGTGGTGGGTAGCGCAGCAGGTTAAAGTGCAGCACTAAGAGGCTAAAGCCACTTCAGCATGAGTTTGATCCCCAACCCAGAGGTTACCCACATGACGTAACAGACCTCCCCTGACCCAACCGCTGCGCCCCTCAGCAGTGTACTTTGTCAATTTGCCTGTTCTGCTCCCTACTCTGTCTCTGGTAAATCCTCTCACCCCCCGCACCTCTGGCCTGTACCCCAGTTCTGTGTGCATAAATAAATAAATCTTAAAAAAAAAAAAAAAAAAAGTGATGGGAGGCTCTCCCTGGTGGCATAATGGGTTTTAAAGCACAGCACTATGAAGCTATCACAGCTACTGCAGCATGAGTTGAATCCCTGGCCAGGGAGGTGACCTATATGGTGTGGCAGACCTCTCCTGACCCACCCGCTGCTCCCCTCAGCAGTGTACTTTGTCCATCTGTCTGTTCTGCTCCCTACTCTGTCTCTGGTAAATCCTCTCACCCCCCGCACCTCTGGCCTGTACCCCAGTTCTGTGTGCATAAATAAATTAATTCTTTAAAACAAAAAGTGATGGGAGTGAGACAAAATATTAGTTTTTAGTGTACTCCATTAAAGTAAATCTGTCAGTATGTGAGATAATTGGAAAAGAACTAACCAGATATCAATATGAGGCTATTCCATCTTTATAACTACAGAGAACATACATTCTAGCTTCTCAAATATTACACTCCCATGTGTTCCTCAAACCATAAATTATCTTAGAAATAATCATGAAATTATCTTAAAAGTGCAAACTTTTGGGATCCATATGTCCAGAAGGTGATATAAAAATTCTTAATCAGATTAGGCACCTAATATTTTGATTTAGAAAATGTTGCCACATTCTATGCAAGGCAAAATTCTAAGATTAGATTGGTTAAATTCCATTCTACAGTCACATCATTCCAATGTTTTCAAACCTGATCCTGGTGTAATGAAAACACAGGGGGAAAAGCTCTTACAATTCATTGTAAGGACATTTTCTAAACAATAGGATAGTACATAAATTGACTTCAAAGATTATTGAATGATTTGAAGATGTTAGTTCAAATTTTTGATAACTATAAAAACATCTGAAAGTTGTAATTATTTCTATTTGCCTATTCTAATGTTAACAAACTCATTCAAAATCTGCTAAGGGTATAATAAAGCATATAAATAACATTTTGAATGTTCAATGTAAAACACAAGTAGTTAGCAAGATCTAATACTTTTCAGTCCTTTTTAAAGAATACATTAAGATAAAATTATCTATTTTCCAGTTCTAAAACTCTTAGATTTCTAAATGTACAGAGCAAACCAAGGCAAAGAACATAGTAGAAAGTACAGAATACCAGGGTGTCAAGCTTTGCTAATAATTAGCTATTTATAAACAAATCACCATGGAAATATAGGCAAAATGTCTGCCCTTGATACCTTATGGATTAAATAATTTACATAAAATTGTTTTTGTAACTTAAAAAGCACTATACAAACATAGTTTTACCTGTCGACGACAACCCACAACATATCTTGGTCCATTTGTAGCTTTAACAATGACTAGAGGAAGAAAATTAAAAAATATAAAGTAAAAAAGTATATCCTTATCGATGACAAGTTCAGTTTCATTTCTGTTCTCCAAGAAGGTAACCACTGAAAGAAAACTTTATTAAAAAAAAAATCATCTACCTTCATTATTGTCATTAAAATAATAAGCATTTCAAAAGTTAGTGGTTGGCTCAAGAAAGTAAACACCCCAGTCAAAAAATGGGGAGAAGAGCTAAAAAGACACTTTTCCAAAGAAGAAATGCAAATGGCCAACAGGCATATGAAAAGTTAGTGGTTGGGAAGGGGTGGTTCTACCTCTTTTTTCTTTATTAACAATCCAGGGCTCCTGGTGGCTCCAGGGGTTGGGGCACAGCACTGCAAAGCTGTCCACAGACACTACAGTGCGAGTTCAGTCTCTAGCCAGGCAGCTACCCTTACAGCATGCAGACCTCTCCTGCCTTACTGCTGCTCCCCTCAACAGTGTATTTCAGTCTGTACTGCTTCCCCACACTGTCTCTGGTGAGTCCTCTCACCCTCCACACTTCTAGCCAGTACCCCAGTTCTTGTATGCATAAATAAATCTTTTAAAAAAAAATTAACAATCTAATCCACTTACATTTTTCTTCAGTTAACTGCTTAAGAACTTCACCCACAATCTAAGAAAGAACAAAAACATTAATTTTTGCCAACAGCTAAAACAAGAAGGTAGCTGCCATCACCCCCATACACCCCAAATTCTATTACCTACCTGTCCAACACTTTGTAGGGCCTTCAGATCATTTTCAGACTTTTCATATTGCTTGGTAAGTTCTTTTAGTTGTTCTCTTACTAAAATAATTTGAACATTTTAAATTAAACAACAATATGAGTAAGTTTAAGTCGCATTTTTCTTGCCAATTTCATTTTACACAGATTTGTATACACTATATCAAGCCACAAAAGAAACAATGACACTTGTAAGTGACTTGTTTAAAACTGTTAGGAAGAAAGTATTTTTATTTTCGTGATAACCAGCACTTGTTTAAGCACATTTTAGGTTACATTATTAACAGGTACTGAAACTGACACTTCGGATTTTGATTATAAATCCTTTCCATAAATGAGTGAGACCCTTCTCCTCTTCACCTACTCACAAGGATTTTTACTCCCTGGTTGACTTTCTATGTTAAAAAGGTCAGCAGGTGCAGTTCTCAGAATGATAAGGTTATGATCTTCCTCAATTATACCACTCAGGATTTTCAATGAAGGTGCATAATGAAAAAAATGTAAGTATCCCTTTAGCTCAGGAGATAAGGGAAACTTGTGTGCCCGATAGAGTACAATGCAAAACACGAGGACACACATAAAAAGGTTACTACGATCGCCGGACTCCCCTCTTGAGCTCCCCATCCGGCATTCCGTTCCACAAACAAGCCACTTCCCGGGGTGTCATCTTAATTCAGCTTTCTTCACTCAAATCTCTTCCTCTCTGAGTCCTAGCACTCCACCAAAACTGCACCCCTTTGCACCCCCAAGCTGGGTAATATCCCTGGCCCACTTCCCTCCACTCCAGTTCTAGTCCTTTGTGCCTCTGAGAACTGGAGATGTTCGGACAGCTGAACCAGTCTCGGCCATTTACATGTCCGAAGAGTCTCTGCTTTCCAAGCCCTGGGCCGGATGACAAAGCGCCTTGTCCCTGGACCCAGGCCTTGCCATCCCCCGGAATCAGTTGCATGCTCAGTCAAAACTCTCGCTTTGTCAGAAACAGAAGCGGGTTCAGACGCGGTTATGTGTAAAGGAAGGTGCACTCACACTCCTTTAGACGGCCGTCAATCTCCTTGTGTTCCAGAAGCTTTTTGCGATAGTCCTGTAGCGCCTTATCTCTAGGGTCCGCCATGATGAGAAGCCGTCGTTCATAGGGGATGCCGGGAATGGCCATGGCCGCCCGGGCGGGGGAAGGGGCGGGGCGAGGGAGGAGAGTCTCCGTGAAAGGGCGGGCTCATGAATGAACCCGCCCCTTCCGGTGGCTCCGTCTCTACTCCATTTTTACCCACTGGTGCGTCTCGGTTCCCCAAACGCTACGTGGTGCGGTGAAGGGGGCCGCCGGCCATACCGCCCTCTCGTGGTCGCACTGGGTAAAGCGAAGCACTGTTAAATTGTCTTCCTTAAAGAGAAGCTTTGGTGTTTTTTTCCACTGTTCTGACAGCACAAAAGATTTTGTCAAAGCTGAGCTAGAAGTGAAACAAGGAATTGGCAAACTTTAAAAATAGATCTGGGGCCCTACCTGGTGGTGCAAGGGGTTAGGACTCAGCACTGCAAGCTAGCCGCAGCTGCTTCAGTGCGAGTTGGATCCCCAGGCCCGGGGGTGACCCACATGGCGTGGCAGACCTCTCCTGACAGCCTGTTTCTCCCCTCAGCAGTGTACTTCCTCGAGCTGCCTGTTCTGCTCCCCCGTGGGTGAAGCCTCTTATGGCCCCACACTTCTGACATATACCCCAGTTCTGTATACATAAATAAATAAATCTTGAAAAAAAAGGTCTAAGGGCTTATCCTTAGAACACAGATGAGCTATTAGAATAACAAGAGTTCTCTCAGGGACTTCTGTAACAGGGTGGTCCCTAGGAAAAGGGGAAGTTCCAGGTTCCCTGCTCCACCCAGAATGAGGGTGGAGCTGAGCAGAGAAAAAGGAGAGAAGAGAAGAGAAGTAAGCTGGATGGAGACCAAGAAGGTGACCTGAGGAAGACACATGGAGCAGCAAGCATGTGATGAAGAAACCGTGCTTGTTTCCTGACCCTGGACTGGTTAAGGCAGATGTGGGTGAGATACCTGTAGGGAGGTGAGTATGGAAGTGTCTATATTGATTTTGATTTTGCTCTTTTCCGCCCAGAATTGTCTGGAAGGTGCTTTAGTCTAGTGGCGGGCTTTCAGGCCTTGCTTTGGACCAACCCCTTTTGGGTTGACTTTTGCCCACGAGGGGATGGGTACCTTCAGATGTTTGATTCAGAAGTTATATTCTTTGTGTTCCATATTGCATATTGTATATTTACCATATTAAAGTCCCTTTTCATTAAAGTTTTATATGTTTTGTCTTGATGCAGCAGATGGCAGAACCCACTTAGAACAGGAAGGTTTGGGGCTTCAGGGGTGCCCTTCTCTCCCTGTCCTGTAACAGATTTGGTGTCCTATAACACTTCCAGTTACGGAAGCAGGTTATTTCATTTATCCATTCTGCGAATGAAGAACTAAGAATAGAACTGCATAGGTTACGGTCAGAAGATTATAAAAATAATTTCAGAGTATAATGAATATTTTACTGTAATGGAGGTAGAACATGAGAGTAGTAGAGTAAGGTGAGGTAAACTAATTTAGAAAGGAGCAAGCTATGTAATAAGCTAGAGAAAATCTTTCCAGAACAAACAAATGTAAAGGACCTGGGCTTGAGCAGGGGAAAAGTTGTTTCACTTCTAGGAACAGAAAAAAGATGAAACTAGAAGAGAAGAGGTGATTTGTAGAGATGTGGGGTGCAAGATAGAGATGGTAGTGTAGGCTAATTTACAAAGATTGAAACTGAATGGAGCTTTTATTTTCCTATGCTTTTGGACAAATCATTTAACCTCTCAAAATCTCTGTGAAAAGAACATAATAGTACCAATCCCATGGGGTTCTCATGAGTATTAAATAGTCTGCCCATAGTTATTTACACAACCTCTGGCACACAGTAATCACTCAATAATGTAATTGTAAGTAATTTTTAAGATTACGGTCACTTCAAATTTTGCAGTAGAAGTCCCCATTGCTACATCTCTTCCCACAGTTGCTTGGGAGAAATTTTTTGGTTTTGTTGTTTCGGTAGACAGTCAAATTTCCCAAATAGATTCAATTTGATCTCAACCTGTCCAGTGCCCCTAGTTGTTAGATTAAATAACTATGCCTTATGTATACTTACATCTGCAAGTTTTTGTGACTTAAATTACTAAAAAAAATCACATAAAATATGTCTTCAAGGTTATTAGGAAAAAGTCATAGTGCCATTGTGTAAATATTCTGTTCTGTTTTTCTAAATATGCCTGGAAATTGTCACAGACAATAAACCAGGAAGATGAATTGAAGAGGAATCAGCTGCAACTGTTCTGGTCAAACTGGTCTGTCTATGCCAAAATAAATCACCTGTGACATCAAGAAGTAAAGAGAGGACAAAAGAGAAAAGACAGCCTAGTTTGGTCTGGTGGTTTTCTATTTATTGTGGTAGTTTAAAAATATGGTACAAATCAGGCCCTCCCTGGTGGTGCAGCGGGTTAAAACACTGCACTAAGAAGCTTAAGCCAGTTCCGCATGAGTTCCATGCCCGCCTGCCCCAGAGGAGATCCACATGGCGTGGCAGACCTTTCCTGACCTGCCCGCTGCTCCCCTCAGCAGTGTACTTCGTCGATCTGCCTGTTCTGCTCTCCACTCTGTTCCTGGTGAATCCTCTCACCCTGTGCATCTCTGGCCTGTATTCCAGTTCTGTATAAATAAATCTTTTTTTTTTTTAAATATGGTACAAAGCCTTTAATACTTCTCATTTTAAGAAGCAGTGTCTAATTCCTCTTTCCCAAATCTAGTGATTTATTCTTGACAAACAAAGTGGAAATGATAACCACTGAGGCTAGATCACAAAAGGTATTGTACCACTGTCCTCTCCCTTGGATCACTCCTGGGGAAAGCCAGCTGCCAAGAGGACACATCAGCAGATCTGTGGGAAGGCCCACAAGGCAAGAAACAACTGATAAGAAACTGAGGCACCCTGCCCACAGCCACTGAATGAACCATCTTGGAAACAAAGCCTATAGCCCAAGGCAGGCCTCAGGTGACTGAACTCCTGGACTCGATTGCAACCTCATGAGAGATGGAGTCACAAAACCTTACTCAGCTGCTCCTGAATCGTTCGCCCACAAAGACTGTGAGATGATAAATGTTGTTTTAAGCCATTAAGTTTTATGGTAATTTGTTACAGAGTGATAGTTAATATGACATGAACTGATATTTTTCTGGGGAGAAATTGGGAAATATCAAATAGGCAAGTAGCTACTGCTTCCACTCACACATTAGTCATGACACCTAAGTTTTTAGAAATATGTTGTCCCAAATATCCACCCCCAAATACCTACAAAAGGAATTTATTTGAATGTGTAATTAGATGTTGATATAGGAATAGAAGTTAAAATTGCTAATAAAATTGTTAATAAGACTAACACATAAAGTTAGCACCATCCTAGTGGCACTATCTGCAGCCACTGCAGCACATGTTCAATCCCTGGCCAGGGAGGTGACCCACATGGCACAGCAGACTTCTATCTTGCCTGCTGCTCCCCTCAGCAGTGTTGTTTGATCAACCCACCCACTCTGTCTCTGGCTTGTACCCCAGTTCTTGTAGGTATAAATAAACAATTTTAAAAAATAATAAATGAAACTGAAAGAGTCCACTGCCGTGCTCTAGTCTACCCTAAGTTCCAGTCTTCATTTATTTAACATGTCTCCTCTACATTTACTTCTGTATTTCTAAATGATATGCTCATGCATTATTCCTCAATAGATCACTTTTAGGATTCATCTTTCAACCTCCTAAAAGGAAAATAAAGATTTAGCACCTTAAATTCCCTTTTTCCCTACCTGCATCCTGCATACATACAATACATATATGTTTTAGTTCAATCACTATCCAATATTTACCTTATTGTAAGTCAAAAAATATATTATGGTTACATCTGCTTTATTATAAAACTCTTTTGAACGTCCTACAATTAAATGCTGCCTAATTTTAAAATGTGTTATTGACTTTTTTTAATCACAGTTTCTTCCTAACTTGCCAATGCAATTGCAAACTTACTCTGAATAGTGTTTTTCAGAAAGTCATAACAGGAATCCCTCTATTTTTTACCTAGGCACTCCTAATGTAGGGTCCATGTTCTTGTTTTTTATATATTTATAAAGATTTATTTATTTATGCATACAGAACTGGGATACAGGCCAGAGGTGTAGGAGGGGTGAGAAGATTAACCAGAGACAGAGTGGGGAGCAGAACAGGCAGATCAACAAAGTACACTGCTGAGGGGAGCCGCAGGCGAGAGAGGAGAGGTCTGTCATACTCTGTGGATCACCTCTCTGCCCTGGGATCCAACTGGTGGTGAAGTGGTTAAAGTTAGCTTCCCAGTGCTGTGCTTTAACCCATTGTGCCACCAGGGAAGGCCTATCTTCCTTCTCTTTTTCCTTAAGTTTCCTTTTCTCCTATTTGTTCTATTTTATGTTGGAAGCTTTCCTTAATAATCTACTACACCTTGGTTTTCTAATCATAAAGTAAAAGTGCACCAAAATAAGGAAGTGATGAAATTATGAATGTGAGAGACCAGCTATTTGTTTTTTTTTTTTTTTTAAAGATTTATTTATTTGTGCATACAGAACTGGGGTACAGAACTGGGGCACAGGCCAGAGGCTCAGGGGTGGCGAAAGGCTTCACCAGAGACAGAGTGGGGAACAGAACAGGCAGATCGACACGAAGTACACTGCTGAGGGGAGCAGCGGGCGGGTCAGGAGAGGTCTGCCGCGCCATGTGGTCACCTCCGGGGCAGGCGGGAATCGAACTCATGCGGAAGCGCGTTAGATTCTCAGTGCTGTGCTTTAACCTGCTGCGCCACCAGGAAGGGCCCCAGCTATTTGTTTTTGATGCCTTTGTGTATTCCTAGAAGAATTTCCCTATTCCCCATTAAGAATGGGAAAGGAGGAGGGCCCTCCTCCCTGGTGACTGGTGGTGACAGGGGTTAAAACACAGCACTGTGAAGCTACAAGCAACCTCTAGGGCGCTAGTTAGATCCCCTGGCCAGGGCAGACCTCTCCTGTCTCACCTACTGCTCCTTTCAGCTGTGTATTTCAGCTAATCTGCCTGTTCTGCTCCCCACTCTGTCTCTGGTGAATTCTCTCACCCTACCACCACACCTCTGGCCTGTACCCCATAAATAAACAAATCTTTGAAAACAAGAAAGGGAAGGGGGGAGATCAGGCAGTAGGGAATAAGTGGAAAGGGGAAGATTTAATGAAAAATGGTCATTGGATTTGGCAATAAGAAGCTCCTATAAATTGGAGTTTCAGGAAGGGGAAAATGGAAACTACACTGCACAGCAGGTGTAAAATGTAAACAGAAAGTTAAGAGACTCATGGAGTTCCCATGTCCAGCTCTCTGTTCAGGAACATAAAGTAAAGAAAATGAAGATAGAACTTAGGTGGCTTATGTCACAATTGCTGATGATCTCAAGCATCTTGAAAAATCTAGCAATGTACCTTGTGCACACTATAGTCAATAAATACTATTAAGCATCAACGCTTTTGTTTTTACTTAATCTTTTTTCATCCTGTCTGCCATAAATATTCCTTTTCCTTGACTATTTTTTCCCCTTTAATTTATAGCTTCTATACAGTGCCAGAAAATGTTTAGGTGCTGAGAAGTTTTCTATAGAAATCCCCATAAACCATTATGCAAAATTGGGCTTGAGCCATTTCCTGCTTTGGTCATTAAAAAAATAATAGTAATAGCTGTTGTTTTGCACAGTAATCAGAATTCCATCAAGAAATGCTATGTATATTTAAACCTAAGTCATTGTATTGTTATAATCACTACTTGCGATCTTGTTCATCCCCCAAAAATTTAAGGTTGTTTAGCTATAATGAATAGGAGGCTGGGCTTTCAAAAATCAAAAGTTGAACTATGTACCCTGTGGATGCTTCTGAAATAGTTATGGAATGACTAATCATTTATTTTAGATGCTCTAGTACAGGCAGGATTATGGCCAGAGCAGGTCATTGCAGGAGTAAACTCACAAGTAATCTCACACAAAGCTTACTTGGACTTTCAGGAACCCTCAATGCCATTTACATGCGTATGAAACTGTAGTTTAGTTTACACATTCTAAAACCCTTTACATGTCTAAAAGGAAAAAAATCACAATTATCAAGACAATATAGTAAAATTTAGCAATCTAACTACTGGATAGCTAACTGAAGAAAACAAAACCATTATCTTGAAGTGATAGCTGTACTCTCATGTTCATTGCTGCATTGTTCACAATAGCAGATTAAGTAAACAACCCAAGTGTCTGTCAGCAGGTGACTGGATAAAAAAAAATATGGCATATAGATACAATGGAATATCATTCACCTATGAGAAAGAATGAAATCCTGCCATTTGCTACAACATAGATGGCCTTACAAAGACCAAAGAAAAACAAATACTGCGTGGTATCACAGACATGTGGAATTAAAAAAAAAAAAAGTGGAACTCATATAAACAGAAGATTACCAGGGATTGGAGGTGGGGAAAATAGGCAGAGGTTGATAAAGGGGTACTTTCAGTAAAGCCTGAGGATCTAATGTATAAGCAGGTGACTATAGTTGCTACCACTGTATTGTATAATGAAATTTGCTAAGAGTAGAACTTCTATGAGTTAATTTGTGAGATGAGAATCTGTAAATTAACCTGATGAGGGGAAAGCTTTTAATGTGTATATGTATCAAGTATCTATGAAGTAAACTTTAAGTAAATTACAGTTTTATGTCAATTACACCTCAATAAAAATTTTAAAAAGACAATTAGTTAAGAAAATTGTCTTCCATGGTAAATTTTTCGGGGTGAGAGTTCAAGTCTTATGGAATAGAATATTTTTTAATTTTAATTTTTTTTCATAGAAAACTGGGGTGTAGGTCAGAGGTGTGGGGGTGGGTGAGAAGATCCACTGGGACAGAGTGGAGAACAGAGCAAATGGATTTACAGAACTCTATCGCTAAGGACAGCAGCAGGGGAGATAGATGATATCTGCCCAGCCATATGTGGGTTAGCTGCCTGGTCAGGATGGAACTCAAACCTTCATACTTTGTGGTCCTGGTGTTAGTGCTGAGACAACCCCTAGGCCTCCAGGGAGGCCCTGGAATAGAGCTTTTATCCTGGAAACAAACACTAGTATTCTTAAACTCTTCCAATTTACAAGCTATTGCATCAGGATGAAATTCAGAGCTGATTCACAATTAGATTGCTTCCTTTTGCAATCTTAAGCTTTAGTCATTTAGTTCCCCTTTTTTCTTATTGTATCTCTCATTTGTGATAGCCAGATTTTTAGATATTATTACCTTAGCCATATGAAGATTCTTTATTAAGTTTACAAACATGTACAAAAAGAAGCTGCTTGTTCAGATCTTTGGGAGTCAGTTATATCTGGGACATACTCTGCTTAAGCAGTTTAAAGAGATTTCAATGTAGTGGTAGAAGCATGAAATAGTCAACGTTATAGCAGATTATATACTAAATTCCAGAGGTGTCCTTCCACTTGAGGAACTGGGTCTTCTTCATCTCTATATGTCTAATGTCAAGCTCAATCTGGCATAGAGGAAGTTTATTGAATTGAAATTCATTTAGAGGCTGGAACATTTAGAGGCTGAAGGGAGCAGTGAGCTGAGTCTGGCCCTAGTGTTCTTACCTAAGTATAATGATAGCACTTTCCAGGAAAAGAGATTGTATTTATATGCACATGTGACATGTAACAGACACTAGAATCAGAGTTTCTCAGGTTCACCAGCATCTCTGATGGACAGATGATTTTTCTACATGTCAGTTCACTTGGCAGTGAGGGAAAGGGCACAGGCATGGGTTGTGGAATAAGAAATATGGGAGTTTTGAATCCCACCTTTACTGTACCATGCAGTTTTGAGTAATATACACTATATGAATTTTCTGTACCTACTTTTGTCAGGTAGGAAATAGTATCACTGAATGGCTTAAAAAAAAAACTACTAACACACAAAAAAGTAGCTTGACATATTTGAGCTCTTAATGGACAAGATGTTGGAAAGCTTTCCAGATTCACTTTGACAGTTTCTCCTTTAAAAAAAGAAAAAAAAAACCAATTTTTTTTTTCTATTCCAACAGCTGGGAATCAGATCTGGCTCTATTACTACCCAGTTCCTACAACATGTCACGTCTCTGGGCTACTTTCCTCTCCCTGGCCTGTGGGAAACACTTCTCATTTCATCGTGATGTAATGTGATGAATTCATAGAAAATACGCACCGGATATCCATGACAAAAACGAAGAAAGTGACCAATTCTATGAATAATTTTAATATTTTTTGTCTCATTTGCGAGCTATTGGGTTAAACAAAATATATTGTTAAAATTAATTCCGCCTGTTTCTTTTTGCTCTTGCTGTGACCACTAGAAAACTTATATATGCAGCCCTGGTCTAGATGATCACTAATATCCCTTACTACTTTAAGACTCTGCCAGGAACACGACGGACACGTAATTCCCAGGGCTTGATTTCCTAGCGTTGAAATACTAAGGATTGGCCGGCTAGGAGCGGGTTGGGGCGGGGCCCCGCTGGAAGATACAAGACCCCTCCCACTTTCACTCTCGCCTTCGGAGCGGGAAGGACCCCCGACTCCCCGCTCCGGGGTTGGGGCCGGCCTGGCCGGGTTGAGTCCAGGCCGCCGGGTGTCAGGGATACCAGGCTGGGGCGCGGCGGCCGGGCGGGGCGGAGTCAGGAAGAGGAACAGTGCGTCAGCTTCACGCGCGGGTTAGAAAGCGGCCCTAGGCCCTGGGCGCCTGGCACGGGCGCCTGGGCACGTCCGCAAGCTCAGCCGGGAGTGGCTGCTGCTCAGAGGCGGGAGAGCCGAGGGCGGGCCCGGTGGGGAGGTGGGGCCGCGGGGGGCTGGCCCGGCCGGGCTTCTTCAGCGGACGCTCGGCCTGCGCCCCAGAGCTGGGTGCTCCGAGGCGCTGGCAACTCGCTCCTGAGTGGCTATGGGCCGCCGCTTGGGTTTCCTGATCTGTCTCCTGGGGGCCGTGTGTGTACTTGGTTCCGGCCGCGGCGGACCGCAGTCCCGGGAGACGGCGGCGCAGAGGTGCTTCTGCCAGGTGAGGGTGTGAGCGGTCGTGCTACCTGTTCTCGGGCTCCAGGTCGCCGCGGTGCGCTCCCTGCGGCGCGTCCGGCAGGTGGGAGCCTGGAGGTGTGTCTGCGCCTCCGCGGCTTAGAGCCCGATGTGCCTTTGCTCCCTGAATCTTCTCCCCGCCTGGGTTGGTGGGGACCAGTCACCCTCTGCAGCCTGGGTCTGCGTGCCGTCCCGCGCCCGCCGTCCGGCGTGGGCGAGTGGTGTGGGTGCGAGCCGCGCGCTGTTTCACCAAGTTGATTGAGAAATCTCTGTTGATCTTTCGTACCGGGGAGGACATGCGCTGGTGCACGCACTCTCGAAATTTGTTATTTGGCACAACCTGTGTCTTTCCAGCGTCAAACTTGATTTGGGACTATGTACACTGTGCCCGTGCTGGGTGATTTCAGTAGCCTTTCTGGCCAACACAGACTTTTGTGTGCTCTCAGATCCCGTTGTCAGGCGGGAGAATGAATTCGTATGACTTTCCCCCCACTGTGTCTAAGCCTAAAGGTCTGGAGTTTTTGGGGGTGGTATGTGCCTTGTGGTTCCTCACCCTGTTGTCCCTTATTTTTTCTTGAATGTAATGACGTTATCTTACCGGGAGACCCAACTAATTGAATTGGGAGGATGTCATCTGTGCACAATTTTAACGGCAACGTTATTGGTTATTTTCTTCTGTTAGTAAGAGCTATGAGTTTCTTGAACAAAAAATTCAAAGAAACGTGCATATTTTTAGTATCTACATTATCTCGTATTTAAATCGCTTAAAGCCACCGTTTTAACTGACTTCTGTTGATAAAAATGACATTTTATGCAAAGTTGATGGGTGGGCATCCACTCGTTTACTTAAGGTGGATTTTATTATTAATTTATATTTGAAGAAATGACATGAGTGTGAGGACGATGATACCATTTCACAGAAATGTTTGAGAGAAGTTATTTCTTTCACAACTTTGAATCAATGGACTTTGTTTTGCCTAGTGATTTGGGAGATGAAATCAGTATTATCTGAGATTGTGTCAAAGTAGTTGAAAGGGAACTGCTTTATAATGAAGAGATAATTTTTAATTTTTTAAAAAAGATTTATTCGTACAGAACTGGGGTACAGGCCAGAGATGCAGAGGGTGAGAGAATTCACCAGAGACAGAGTGGGGAACAGAACAGGCAGATCGACGAAATACACTGCTGAGGGGAGCAGCGGGCGGGTCAGGGGAGGTCTGCTTCGTCATGTGGAGCTCCTCCGGGGCAGGCGGGGATCGAACTCATGGGGAACAGACTTCGGCTGCTTTGTACTGTGCTTTAGCCCGCTGCGCCACCAGGGAGGCCCCCTAACGAAGAGATTTTAAAACTTTCTGAATTTAAAAGTTAACTTACACTCGGTGATTGCAATGAGCACACAGTTAAAAAATTAAAAAGAAAAGGATCATTTCTTATCTGATTACAAATATAACAAGAAACTTAAACATTTAAATAATAAGTAAGTGATTTTTAAGTGCTGAAAGATTTCAGTGTAAAATTTCAACGAGATCTGGATAATGGAATAAAGGCACATATTGAACTTTTCAACTTTCAATCTTTCCCCGCAGCCTTTTCAGATACTTGACTAAAATTGGGGATCTTTTAATTTTTACTGTTTCTTTTCTTCTTAACTAGGCATTTTTCACCCTTCACAATACTTTCATGGTTAAAATACTCCTCTAACACGAAGATCTGTTCGTTTTCTTTCTTTTTCTCTTAGACCAAATGTGGCAACCTGTTTTCTTCTCAGAATCAACTTAAAAATTAATAAAATGAATAAACAAAAAAAATTTAAGAGATTTTTAAAATAGTCTTCTTAAAGATAGAGACTGTCAATTCTAATTCAAGAAATGAATCAACAGTATACTTCCGTTATGTTGTGGTCAGTGATGGAAGAGATGGGTTAAGGGGATGAGGGCGGAGAGAGGAAGGACAGTGGTGAATACACAGGAAGAGAAGAATGACAACAAAATGTAGACATGCACACAAAAAGAATGAAAGATTAAAAAAATGAGAAAGAAAGATAAGTTAATTATTCATTCAGTAAACACCAACACAGAGTTTATGACATAAACACAGTGTTAGTTTACTGGATGGTGTTCACTGGGGTTTGGTGGCGAGGTGGAGATCCAAAACATTAAAAAAGCTAGTTAGCAAATATTGCTAGAAAATACATTAAAAAACCAAATGTCACTTAAGTTTGGAAATACCATTTAAAATATTCTTTGCATCTATTTGCAATTGGCCACTTAGCTATAGAATTCTGTTGATCTGTTAATAGAAAAATCCCTTCTCTTCCTTCCTGCTGGCAGTGTCTCCGCTTACACTTATGACTAAAGTTATCACATCATTACCTCTCATCACACTAAGGCTGACTTGCAGTAGGGTTTCAGCTAACAGTATCAGCTCTGATTTGAGTCAGAGCAGCATGTGGTTATTTGAGCTCTACTAATAATCAGATTACCTCCCGCAAGTTTTTAGGGATTCCTCCTGTGAACTAAAAATTAAAATTTTAGTTCTAGTTCTTGATATTCCAGAGTACATTATTGGTGCTTAGCAAGTGAATTACAATATAAGATATGAATGCTGTGTTAACAGTGTGTTCTAATTATTTTGCTGAGCAAGCCACTTGCATGTTTTTCTGGAATTGATCTTTCAGATGAGTTGATGGTTCCATGTGAAACAGTTATTCCTTATGTCTGACAGCTGATATTGAATCCTACTGAAATCACTCCCCTGTGATATAAGTTCTTTTGATAATAGTCCTTCAGTATTAGTTACTGAAAATAAGTGGTCAATTTGTCTGCCACTTGTAAATTTTCCAATTAAAACCCCACCCCTCCCCATTTTAAAAAATCTTCTAGAAATGCAATGGCCAGCAGGCATGTGAAAAAATGCCCAACATCACTAATTATTAGGCAAATGCAAATCAAAACCACAATGAGATACCACTACACTCCCGTGAAAATAGCCTATATTAACAGAAACCGAAAACAACAAATGCTGGAGAGGATGTGGAGATAAAGGAGCCCTCTTACACTGCTGGTGGGAATGTCACTATGGAAAGCTGTGTGTAGGCTACTTAGAAAACTAAAAATGGATCCACCATATGATCTAATGATTCTACTCCTAGGAATCTATCCAGAGGACACAAAAACACTAATTTGAAAGGAAACCTGCATGCCTACGTTTATTGTAACACCATTTACAAAAGCCAAAATAGGGAAACAACTTAAATACCCCCAAATAGACAAATGAATAGAAAAGATGTGATATATTTACACAATGGATGATTACTCAGCAGTCAAAAAAGACAAACACATGCCATTTGCTGCAACATGGATGGAGTTGGAAGGGATTATAATGCCAACCATAATAAATCAGAAGGAAAAAGATGAATATTGGATGGTCATACATATAACCAGACACAAGGTGAAGAAAAAGTTAAAACTAGCAAGCTGACT